AGAATTAAAAAGCAGTGGATTGTGCCTGAGGAATGGCATTCAAGGTTGTCCTCTTTCCCCTGTCTTCCACACATACATGCAATCATACCTTCACACACAAACATACAGTTAACATATACATATATGTATATATATATACATATATGTATACACACACACACACACACATATATATAATCACATGAAAGAAAAAAAAGAATGCTACAGGAAATCAAATTCAGACTGGAAAATGCATTTAATAATTCAATGTCCTTTGTAGGAAAATGTTAAGAAATTTTGATAAAATGACTACAGAATTGTAGCAAATATCTCCTTCTGGACTGGTTGTATACCCTGGGTATTAGTCATCTAAGCCTCTGAGGGAGATCAGAATCGAGGATCCTGAGGTCGGCTGTGGTACATGACTCCCCAAAGATAGAATCACGATCCTGTTCCCCCTGGACAGAGTTGAGGGTGGCATTGTGAGCATGCAAGAGAGAGTCAAAAACCTCATGCTAGTTCCTCTCAGTCTTCAATTTACAGGCAGAATTTTCCATCTTTGGAGGAAGGAGAGGCTCAGCTCTTTGCATGTTGCCCTCAGTTGTGTCCTTGCATTGTCTGTGGTGGAAACCCCAGGCCTCTCCTTCTAGAATAAGAGCATAGGATTCCCTACTCACCAAAAAAGTATTTCTTGGTTTGGCAGGGTTGGATGGAGGTGGGAACAACAAAAAATATCAAGACCTGTCAGATAGATGACTCAGTTGGTAAGGACACCTGACAATGTCTAGAGACAGAAGTTTGGTCACTGGGCCCTTATATGGTGGACCCAATCTAGGACCTACTCTGAGCAAAGCACAAGTCCAGCTTTTCTAACCCACTGCTTTGTAGATGCTGTCAGCATTGGCCATTGTTGCCCTGCACACGGTGTGAGCACTTAGCATTTCTTGGTAGCAGAGACAAAGGCTGTTTGGCAGTGACTTGTCATCCATCCTCTCTGGTACACATTCATCCATTTGACACAAGTTTTGTGGCGAGCTGTACAGGGAAGCTTAAGAAAAATGCTTTCGTCTCATCTTGATGATAAAATGTGTTTCTCACTCATGGTAGCGTGGTGGTAACTTTTCATTCCTCCTGGCAGGTTTTAAAGACTTATTTGACATTGGAGGAACCTGCAGTATATCTTTAAGGTGCAGTTCAAAAGTAAAAGACAAGGTTGCTCATTTTCAATTTTGGCTGAGAAGTCTTAACTTTGACTGTGACACTTCAAAGTTAGAGAAAACTTGGTCTTAAAAAATGGATGCTGATATGAGATGGCATATTTAATGACAGCTGTATCTATAGAAAGCTGTTAAGATGCAGATTATCCCTCCTGGGGTGGGGGAGGGAGATCAAACTGCCAATCTATAAAATATACTCGATAGAAGAAGGAAAGGAATCTATCTGTGCAAGTGCTTTGATTGCAGGGGACAGTACAGCAGCATGTGGCATCATAACCTAGAGCAGACAAATCAGCTTGATGACTTTCAAAGCCAGGAATACTGCTGCAGGCAAGGGTACTCCAGAGTAGGAGAAATTAAAACATATAGAGACTGTTATTAATTTCATATCTATTTTTGTATAGTCAAATCTGTATGCAAATCCTTAGCATCTCATTTCAGCAGATTAATCTAAAGTGAAGAGTGGTGTGTGAAGCGAATGTAATGATGAAGCTCTTTGGAATAAATGTGGGCTGAAAACTTGGATGCTTCCTGTAAAATTTATTTTTTTATATACTGCAAAGAAATGGATTTGTTTATATGCTCATTTGTAAATTACTTCAAAAGGAAAAGCAATAGAGGCAATTCCCCAGTTTCCCTTTGCAATCCTGTCTTGGCAAAAGCTACAGCCCCGGGTTTGGCAGGCGCCTCCTGTGTCTTCCCATTCTAGAGGTAATCATGCCGATAACTAACTGGGACTTTCATTTTTATTCCCAACTAGTGATCCAATATCTCATTTCTGAGCAGTATCATATGAGGAAAAATTTTTGTGTAATGCTAAGGAATCTAATTATTGAGTGCAGATTAATAAAAATCATATTATGGATGCATCTGTGGAAGTGAATAAATAACAATTCTGAACAATAATTCTGAAGAACACGGTGATCAGTTGTATACCCCATGTAGCAGAGCGGGTGTGGTAGTCACAGTGTAATTCACTGACTGTACATTTAGTACATAGTGCTACAAATATGTTCCTATTGTCACAAAGTGTGTTATCACAATAGACTTTATTTCTAAACCAAGTAGAGATGCTTTTAGAGTTTCACAGTAAGAACTGGGAGCCTGACCTCCTGTTTGCTTTCAGTTGGATAGATGATCAGAGGTGACCTGGACATTGATCCGGTGACTATGGCCCTGAACACAAGCACTGGCATTCTTTCTAACCTGGAGCACATGTATGGTCTCAATAGATTCATTTATTCTTACGTGGTTATGCCAAGAGAGAATTCTTCAACATTCTGTTTTTAATCAGACAGGAAGCAAATATCAGGGGTAAAGGAAATACAACTCTTATTTTGATCTCCAACTTGACTCTATGTTAGAATTTCAACTTCAGATTTCTTAAATGTGGTTTCTTTTCCTTATACTCCATTTTAGAAATGAGACATTCAATAAATCCAGAGAATGCTTTCTATAAAAACAGGAATCTCCTTCCTTTCCGCTCACTGCAGATGAAGTTTTTGTTGATTGTAAAATTGGTGCCTTGATTTGTATAAATAATATGTATGTTAAAAGGTGATTGAAAGCTACAGAATTATTTTTTAAAAAAGAAGTCTCCAGTTAGTAGTAGCAACCATTAATTACATGGAGGATCCAATCTCTTTACCAGGGCTTAGGAAAATGATTGGCCTGGACAAGTCCCCATCTCCTTATGTATCTAATAGTATTAATTGATTAGTCTAAGTCAGCTTAGAGTTACATATTCATCCTCTGGATTCTGATTCACTTCACTCTTAGTGCTGGAATTGATGGTAAAGATCTACTCGGAGACTTTGTACTGTCAGAGCAAAAACAAAATTGCTGGGTGATAGAAGACAGCCAAGGAAGACAGAGACGGGGAGAGAGTTTTTTGTAATCAGTTCTATGGAAAAATGAGGTTTTCTTCAGCACCAGAGTAAGCAAAAGAAAGACTTTGGAGGAAAGCTGTTCAGTGGGTACATCAAGCACATTCAGTCGTTCCTCAAATTGCAACCTTTTCCTCTGTGATTAGGTCATGTGAACTTGCTAGTTGGTGCCTATCAAAGTGAGACTCATTTCTTCTCCTAAAAACTGAGGAAAAGGACATCCTTTTCCTGGATGATTATATTTCAAAGAGATTTAGGTCCTTTAAAAAGATATTCTTGTTTCCTAAAAGTGGCATATGTCTTAAAATAATTGACATTTCAAAGAGACGGAGAAAGTCATTGCAGTTATACCTAATCTAAAGTAAATGAATTTTAACAAGCAAGGTCAGGGTCTTAGCATCTTTAAAGCAGCCTAAGCTAAGAGAATGCTAAAGCCTTGTGGTCAGTCTTATGGTGATATATCTTCAAAATTAGCAGGGAAAGCCTCTAGGAACATCTTTTGCATCTGATCAAATTTTCAATCTGTATTTAAGAATCAAGTCTTTCTGATACTTGTTAAGAATATTCTTTTATACAATCTGCAGCTACTTATGGGCGGTATTTATAAAGATGGGTATTGTGTCGCCACATTCCCATTGTTAAGAGTAACAGTTAAACTACAATCAAAGATTTCTTAATTGCACAGGGCTCATTGTATAGCACTAACATGAAATGAAGCATATCTGAGTTGAATACCCTTCATCCCAAATGCTTGGCACTAGAAGTGTCTAGACATATTCAGATTTCTAGATAGTTGTATATTATGATCACATACATGTCTTACAGGGGGGCAACCATTTCTAAACACAAAATTCATATAATGTTATACACAGAATCTGAGGATGATTTTATATATACTTTTTAGTGTTCCTGTGTCTTTACTGTGGCACCTCACTTAAGGTCAAATGTGAGATAATCTGTGTGTGCTATCATATCTGCATTCAAAAAGTTTCAGATTTTGAATGGTCTTCCATGTATATGGGAAAAAATAGGAAAAATCAGTTTACAGTATTGACTTTCGTAGCTTCTAATTAAATAGAAAGTCTGAAATCTCTTAGAGATTAGCCCTGTAAAAGAGGATGTTTAACAAAATTTGAAGTCATTGCACCAGAGACCTTTAGAGCATGCTGTCCCATTTGGTAGTCAATAGTTTCCAGCTTCACTTGTCATAGTAAATGCTTGGAATGTGACTTATCTGTGCTGTATCAAATATACCCTGGATTTTGAAGACTTTATATAAAAAATTCTCAGAAAATTTTATATGGATTTCATATTAAGATAATATTTTTCATCAAATTGAGGTAAGTAAAAATACATTATTAAATATAATTCCTCTGTGCTTATGTTCTGATGTGGCCTATTCGTGGGTATTGTTATTCTCTCCTACACACCATTCACCCCATCTTTTGATAGATAATGACCTTTGCTATATGTATTCTTCCAAGGAAATAGCAAACTGTCACCTTGCTAATGCCCAGAGCTTAGAGCTCTAGCACTGCCAACTTAGCTAAGGACAGAGACAGTCTATACAACTCTCTCCCTAGAATAAGTTATGTATAGAGAAATTTCATCTGTATGTGCTATGTTCGTCCCATCCTTTATCCTTTATCTGGCCATTCAAAGCCTCTTGCTAGAATTCTAGGCCTCTGGCACCCTCAGTATACCTACTGGTTGTTCTTAAGTGGATTACTACTGAAATGCTCTAGAAGAGGAATCAGCATCGACACTACATTTCTTAATTGTGTCATGGGTTCACTTTGAGAGCATGCAAACAAATACTCAACAGTATCTAATTATCCGTTAAGTGTAACTCACACTTATTTTGGAAGACCCTGTTTCTTCTTTGTAAAAAGCTCTAAAATGTGCTACTCCGTTACAGGTGGAGTGACAAACACAGCACAGTATCAGAACAGACTGATGGTATACGAACCTAACCAGGTAAGATGTTCCTAAGAATTCGTTACCTTAATTAAAATGCATTTAAAAAGATCTCCACAGGAATTATCAGTTGGAATGGCACCATATGCACCTTCAGCTACATGGGGAAAAGAAGGCGTTCAGGGGGAAAGCCTTTGGTTCCCCATTATTATTACACAGCGTCAGCTCCTCTAGTGTCATGCTGTATGTGATGCCACAGAGCTTTGCATACTGTACAGAGGACTTTGACTGTGTTTGTCCTTCTGTAAGGGATGCCATTGGGGCAGGAAACATCACTATGACCTTGTTATTCTCAAATCAAATAATGTCATTTGACTTAATATAGCCAATGGTGCTCTATATCTAGGACAAACACAAATGATATGCATATGAAAGTCTGGGAATGGTGCACCTATAATAGCTGGGTCTTCTCTGTGCCCTTTTGATGCATATGTAATTCCCCTTTTCCCCTAGAAGAAGAAATGTTTTTTATTTTCTTTTCCTTATGTCAAAATATCTACAAACCGTGCAAATATGTCTGCTGAACATTGCCCTTTCCATGACTTGGATTTGATTGTGACAGTATTCCAACATGTCGTGACCTGGAAGTTTACTGTCCATTAGCGCAATATTAGGATTTGAAACAACAGGTTGCCTTTGGAAGGCTGCATCTGGGTCGGTACCACAAGTATGTGCTTAGTGTCCCCAGTGTTTCTGCTGTGTTTTTAACAATGGCGTGATTGAGGAAGGCATTTCTCCGTTTACAAGTGTGTCTCCTGATATTATTAGAAGCTGTAGATTGCAGAGATCCGATGTTCATGGGTCAGCTGTCTCATGAGGGATCACTAATTGCAGAAGCCTGAGTTCGGTGCACACATGGTTAAGGCGGAAGACAGCATTAACACTGGTGAAATGAGTTCTGTTTCATGTTTGTACACACATGCTCTTTTTAAAAAATTCTGCTGGCATATTGTTTACGGTGGATACTGGCAAACATCACATCTGCTTGCATCTTGCTCAGAATCTCAATAACTCTATCATTCAGCCCTGATGCTTATTTCTCTTCTAGGCCTTTGTGGAGAGTCGATAATGCCTGCCATCTGCCACAGAGCACATCGCTACCTGCCAACAGGCAGGCTGGGGTGACCTCTGCTTCCCCACTGCTGATTAGTATTCACACGCTAGCTTATTAGGAATGACCCCACCAGGCCTCTCGGCTTCTTTGCCTTTGCAGCGGGTGGTGGCTCACCTGGCAGGCACTGCAGTGAAGGAAGCTAAAGATATAATCAGGGGATGTAGGCAGGCTTTGCAAACCAGATGGCATCTACAGTCTTGTGGCAGGAGACTGGACTGCTAATGCAAACACTGATTCCTAATACTGTAATAGGTTATCGCAGAGAGAACACCCAAGATAAGCATCGTCAGAATTTTTAAATTCACTCAAGCATAATGCATTAAAGATATTTCTTAGCAAAATGTTTGAAATCTAGCATTGACTATTTATTAAAGACTGTATTTGATTGAAGAAATTCTATGTTCAGAGGAATCAGACAGTATAAGCCTCTCAGACTAACAATTTCTTTTTGTCTGCAGTTTACTCTGAGAGATTAAAAATGAGCTAATCTATGCCTATAGAAAATAAATGCCACAATATATGTGCCTATAGTGAATAAGGGACACACTATATGTGCCAATAGAGAATAAATGACATATGTCTATAGTGCATAAGTGCACAATATTTGTGACTATAGAGAATAAATGCCATACTACATGTGCCCATAATAAATAAATGCCACACTGTGTGACTATGGTAAATAAATACCACAGTATGTATGCCTGTAGTGAATAAATGTCATATTGCATGTGCCCACAGGAACTAAATGTCACACTCTATATCCCTATAGTGATAAGCGCCTATACTATATATGCCAATGTTTATACAAGCATATTTGTGCTTATAGTCTGCTTTTTCTTTGCAGCTTTGTGAACTGGTGAAATTCTATGCATACAAAACATCGTATGATTTTTCTGGTACAAGTCCAATTTTGTCTTGGCAAAAAGGAAATGAAGTTCTTCCTATATGCTGAGTGTTTATGAAAAAGGAAGTGGTTAGGTTTATTTACTGATCTATCACTTGGTTTACTTGTCTGTCAATTAGTTACTTGGGATTTAAACTTAAAGCCATGGTTGACAGTCATATAATTTTAAAACTTGTATTGCATATTAAATAGGAATCTTATGTTACAAGGGGGCTGATCATAGCTTTCTTATTATTGAGGATGATCTAGAGTCAAATATCAAAGATCTCTCCATTCTTTGGCACTGTCATATAAAGCTTGGTCTTCTACCAATATAAATAAATATGTCTAACCTAATTACCCTATTTGGCAAAAGGCATAATTGCAAATATGTTAAGACATGAGAGGCTTCAGATACAAAGGAAACAGTAAGCTTGTTTCTGAGCTAAGTATTAGCTTGTCCTCTGACCTCATGTCAATTTTCAAAAGAATAGGAAAGTAACCCTCTCCCTAACTTCTGTGGGACATTTGTTACTTGATGTTTATAAGCCCCTCCACCCCCTATTTTGAGGCAGGATCTCACTATGTAGCCCTGTCTAACCTGAAATTCAGTACATAGACAAGACTGGCTTTGAACTCACGGAGATCTGCTAGCCTCTGCCTCGTGAGTGCTGGAATTTAAGGTATGCACCACCACTCCTGGCCCTAAGCCCTGTATTTTTAAAACAGAGAGGATGCACTGGGCACTTGTGAGGCATTTTCTAGGTCATAATGGCTATCATGTAAGTCTTGTTATCCCAATTGTAACGCCAAGGGATGAGCATGGGGGGTGTGTGTGTCAGTAAATTGCTTAAGATTGCACATGATTATGGTTTAATAGTCTCCATGTAGACAGTTTTCATTATTATACTATCTTCTATACTGTACTGACCATGTGCTTAAACCTAAGTAATCTCCATGAGCTAAGCATCATGAAATTTTATAATCACACTGTAAAATGTAAAATGCCTTATAAAATGCAAACCTACCAAAAAGTTTTAATGTAAGCTCCAAGTTAGGATTGTGTAGGGTTTTTTTTTTCTTGTTTTTCGTTTTCATACAAAACATTCATTTGAACATATAAATAACATGCAAATAAGATGTGGTTGATTCTACGGTTTGGACTGCTAGTGAGACACCACTGCCTTTGGTGTTTGTGAGATCTCTTTAACCCAATGCACCTGTTTTCTTATTTTGTTCCTTTTCTCTCAGAATAAGTGGATAAGTCGCAGCCCCATGCTACAGAGAAGGGTCTACCACTCCATGGCTGCTGTCCAGAGGAAGCTTTATGTTCTTGGAGGGAATGACCTAGATTACAATAATGACCGGATTCTTGTACGTCATATAGATTCCTACAACATTGACACTGATCAGTGGACACGCTGTAATTTCAACTTGTTGACTGGCAAGTATCTCTGGTTAAACAAATTCAGAGCAAAAATAGGGGCTGAGGGGCTGGCTAAGTAGTTGAGAGTACTAGTTAATCTTCTGCAGGTACAGGTTTGATACCCACCACAGCCCATAGCTCTCGATAGTTCCAGTCTCAGGGGATCTTAGGTCTCTCATTGGCCTCCATAAGTACCAGGAACACAGGTAGTAAGTACCCAGGTGTACATGTAGATAAAACACACATACAGATAAAATACAAAACATCTTTGGAAATGTCTAGAAACAAAAGCATAAGAAATTGAATAGAGTTTCAGGACATCCCCATACTTGTTTCATAGACAGCCAGAGTACAACTCTAAATATTATGAGAATAATGCATAGCACAAATTGTTTCAGTTACCCAGGAAGAGATGTGTGATTTGTAGCTAAAGGCAAGACTTGTTCAGGTTGCTGGGAGTCTAGTTTCTGCCTTGCCTCTGTGTAGGTTTTCACAGGACCAAGAGAAGCATATCAACTCACGTTTCATCATTGACATTCATGTGAGAACTTTGATATCTGTAGGAGAAAAAAGGCACCAAAAGAGTTAATGATACATTTTGTTTTTTAAAATGTCAGGGTCTCGTGTACATCAGAATGGCTCGAAAGTCCCTCTGATCCTCCTCCTACTACTACCTGCTTTTTCCTAGGGTTAGGGTTGTGTATCACCACGCCCAATTCTATACAGTTCTGGGACCTGATTATCCTAGGCAAGCACTCTACCAACTAAGCCGCATCCCCAGCGACAGGAAGTAACTTTTGTTCTATTTCTCATTGCTTAGTTCTTTTTTTTATCTCTTGGGATTTCAGGAGAATGGTGGTCTTCATTATTTCTCACTGCTGTATGTTGTTTCTCTGTGTAGTCTAGAAATTCAACTTTACAGCTGCTTTGTGCATGACAGCTGCATTGCTGGTCACACATCCTAACCCATGTACTTCTCCAGAGCAATCACAGGTGTGTCCCCGACACATGACAGAAGGGAATCGAGAGAATGTAGTAATAATGTACTTACACTGGTGTTCTCGATGGAGCTGACGACTCTCTCTTATCAGCTCCTGTGGCTAACATCCACCAATGGTAGGATCCATGGCCAGGCTGTTTTAAGTCAGAGGAAAATCACAAACTATAAGTGGTGGACTAAAGTAGTTCTGGAAGACATTTAATATGCAGTGATGATGCAGTCTTCCCTGATGCTGCTGGGGATCCACCCCAGGGGTCTGGATGCTTTGTATCAAGCTACTCCTGTTTTTACAAAATGATGTCTGGCCTGTTGTAAGTACTGATCTCTCAGGGATAGTGGTATCTCAGATCCTAGATCCCTGGATCTGTGATTCTGCCTCCAATTATTACTCCAGTCAATTCGGTGTCAGCTCATCAATAAACAGAGACTTTCACTCTCCGGTTGCCTCCAGGGGAGAATGTGTAGTAGTGCAGTGCGTTATTCTGTCTTCTCTTTTGACATGGGAGGAGAGTCCTTTCATTATCTTGGCGTGTAGGTATCTAGGGACAGTGCAGACTAGTCTCGGCTTGGGAACTTTAATATAATCTCAAAACTGTTGACTATGTAAAGGAAGAAGGGCAGTGACTATCCGTTTTGTTTGCCATTTGTCTTCGTTTGAGGCACGGGCTCTGTTTTATTGCCCCAGGGCTGCTGCTGTTACTTTATAAAGGTAAGAACTTAACTATATTTGTGCCCACAAATATTATTTGGAGCGCAAAGAATGCTTTACATATCTAGAATATCCCTTATTTTCACCACCATAAACTAATGGCAAACAGAATAATATGGAATTTATGGTTCTATATAGCTTACTATCGCCATATATAGTGCTACATTTATTAAGGCATTGACTAATATATTTTTGGCCTGGTCCTAACAATACATGGATTCACTCTTTAAGCAGGAGTGGCTAATTCATTTTAGTTCTGGAAACAGTGATTAACTGCTGCAAAACTCCTGTGGAGTACACAAACATGCCACAGGGGAAATTGTATTGCTTGGTGGCAAAAGGGTTAATTCAAACATGCAAGAAATAGAATTTTTCTTTTTATTTAATTCTCTTTACTTTAGGCCAGAATGAATCTGGAGTTGCTGTCCATAATGGGAGAATATATTTAGTTGGTGGATATTCAATTTGGACAAATGAGCCTCTGGCTTGTATCCAGGTGAGTGGTTGAAGTTCCTTTTGAAGTTTCTGCAAGCGGTTCAGCGAGGTTATGTTTTGCAATTTGGCTGCAGAAGGAGATATTTATGTGTAGAGAGAGGCTCAAGGTCCCTTTCTTTGTGTAGCTAGTTCAGCCTGTATCCTATCTCGTAGATATGATGCCTACTAAATGACTGAGACCTTTTAAAACTAAGCTGGGCACAAGCTTTAAAACATCTATGAAATATACCAAAAATGGAGAACTTTGACTAGCTTACCCCTTTTTAATACATTTTTTTTAAAAAGAAAGAAAGAAAGAAAAGAAAGAGAGAGAGAGAGAGAGAGAGAGAGAGAGAGAGGGAGGGAGGGAGGGAGGGAGGGAGGGAGAGAGAGAGAGAGAGAGAGAGAGAGAGAGAGAGAGAGAGAGAGAGAGAGAAACTTTGGCAATAGTCACTTCGTACTCCTATAATTTTAAAGATACCCCATCTTCATGAATTTTGTATATTATAGTTTGTTCATTTTCATAATTGTTGCCTGCAGAGGTGTGCTTCCTTTCTGGCAGAGAATCCTAGCATTAGTGGTTTCTGGGTGGTCTGATAGGATAGCTTCTGCCCCAAAGAATAGCCTTAGCACTTCACAAGAGAATGGCACAAGCTTGCCTTGGCAAGGAGCCAGCTGGGTCTCGAAAAGTAAAAAATGCATACTCTGTTGCTATATGTAACAGAAGTCTTATTCCTAATGCTCTGTCTAATTCTTACTGGTTTTCTTTTTCTTCTGTTCTCTGGTAAACTCCTGATGTATCTTGGCCCCAACTTCTCTAACATATCCTTGAAATGACTCATATTTTTTTTAACCTAATCTTTGTGGGGAAACTTTTGAAAACTGTTTTTTTAATAGTTTTTCATGTTGCAAAATGAGTCTAGCATTATTGTTGTTGTTGTTATCACTATTGACAGGTCTCACTATGCAGTAATGGCTTGCCTGGAACTCATTATGTAGACCAGGGTGGCCTCAGACTCTAGAGATCTGCCTGTCTGCCTCCAGAGTGCTAGGATAAAAGTGTACCACCACAGTTCTAGGGAACACAGTTCCACAGTTCTGGCAGTTCTAGGGTTTTAGTTTTCAGGCATATCTCATAAGGGATATATGCTTGTGTATTTCATAAGGTGGCATGTGCTCCTCCTGTTGTCTCCTTTCAAGATAGCTGATGTCCATTTGCTGTATTATGTTGGTTATGTTTCTCCTTTATTTTCCTGCTGTAGTTTCTCCTTTCTCCTCTTGCTTTGTCTCACCACAAGTTTTCCTGAGGATCTTACATCTCTCTGTTATTCCCAGAGCTCAAATAGATAGGAAAACTTGATTGGCCTCTTTAGCTGAATAGACCTGAGTTTTACAGTGACTCGCTAGAATTAATTTTTCTTAGCACATGGGGAATGTTCACAAAACTCTATCATGCTTTACAGTTAAAAATATTAGTTTTATATATTGCCAATAATATATAGGTAAATTTGAACCTAACAAATAGCAAAATTAAACCTATCCATAGCTGGAAATGATAAAAAACACACTGCCGTGTAGCTGAGTTGACTGTCACAATGAAACAAAGAACCTTAGAACTTTATAGTAATAAAAACAGTATGTAGCAAAACATGGGACAAACGTAGCTTAAGAAGCCAGAAAATGAATTTAAAAATAAATTCAAAGTAGACAGTAATAAAGACAGCAAGGTAATGGCTAGGAAACAATAATACAGTAAAACCATATGACCATAAGAAGCACATGGATATGCTAACCAGCAAGCGCTGTTTCCCCTCACCCCGGAGGAGTGGCTTGTCTTCACCCATGTATGTTTTTGGCAGTTTTCAGTCCTAAGGGTTTTCTTTACCACTCTTCAGAATTGAGAAGACATTGAATTGGGTGGGAATGTTCCATAGTGCCAGGATGCTACATTGTAGGTGGAGTTAGGAGACTTCATTAGATTACTTTTACAGGGAAATTAAGTTTGCACTTTTATTATGTTGTAAAAGTCAGACGTGATTATGGGTATATTTCTACTAACATTAACATTAGATTAGCTATGAATCAGAGATTAAACTGTAAGAGAAAAATAAGAAACTCTTCTAATGTGTTGATTTTAAGAGAGCAGGATGAAGGCCATACTGCAAAACTTTTTCAAGTCTATTTTGGCAACTTAATGTGTAAGACAGAACAGTTTTAAAACAAAACAAACAAAAGACACTTCATGGTGATATCAATTGTTTATCTCCAAATGGTTTTTTCATAGAAGGCTGAGTAACCTTGTACACTGATCTTTACAGTATTTTTGAAATGTGTTGCCTGCAAGTATGTCTGGGCACCATATGCACAGTCCCCACAGAGGCCAAAAGAGGGCATCAGATCCCCCTGGGATTCAAACCTGGGTCTTCTCCAAGAACAACAAGTGCTCTTAACCACTGAGTCATCACTCCAGCTTGCTTGCCCACTGATTCAGTGATAATAATGTCTGGCTAGTCCCATACAAACTTTATTCAGGAAGTAAATGTGTGCATATTTTAAACCTCTGAGGACATGACATTTAAAAGTTTCCTCTGGATTAAGGTAACCCTAAAAGAACATATTTTAAATTTTAACAAGTGCTTGTATTAGTGGAGTAAAGTTTACCTTCAAGATCACATAATAAAATATACCAGTGCAAATTCTGTCTATTCCTGTGACTAGCACACTGCAAAGCACTACTAGTTCTACAAAGCATAGAAAAACTTGAGAAAAAAGTATTTTCCTTAATATTTGTGTGTGTGTGTATGTGTTGGGGCACAACCACTTGCCAGTCATCATATACATGTAGAGGACACATGACTACCTCCAGAGTTGACTCTCTTTCTACCATGAGTAAACTTACTCCATCTGGGCTGGCAGCAAGCACTTGCACAACTAAACCATCTCTCTGGGCATGGTTTCATGTTTCACATTCTTATATGTCTGTGTGGTGTGTCCATGCATCAGTATACATGTTAACATGTTTATAGGCACGTGCGTGCGTTCGTGCATGTGTGTGTGTGTGTGCACATGTATGTGGTATGCAGAGACCTGCAGTTGCTTGCAGGCATATTCTTCCATTGTACTTGACTTTTTCTTATCAAGACAGGATCTCTCACTTGGAGTATGCCAAGAATGCCTATTCTAACTAGCAAGCCAGGTTGTGGTTGGCTCTTGTCACTGCATCCCAAGAGCTGGAATTACAATTGGCCATGCATCTATCTGTATTTTACATGGGTTCTGGGGATCTGAACTTTGGTCTTCATCCTTGCAGCACAAGCCCTTTTTTCCCTGAGCCATCTCTATAGCCCAAGAAACATGTATGTATAAGAGCCCTTATGATCAATAAATGTGAGCATGATAGCATATGGTTTATCATTTAGAGAGGCATTTGTAAACAAAATCTTCATAGATAATAACATTTTAAAGATTTGTTTTTAAACAAAAGATGTGTTTGCATGTACATATGTATTGTGGTAAATAGCATTTGGGGGTTTCTACCCCACCTCAGATCATTTAGTTTCCAAATAAAAGACACAGAACTTTTACAGTTACAATAAGCCTTAAGGTACTAGAGCCAGGCAGATAAAGCTCTGTGCTATTTTGTCTCTTTCCCTATCATTAACTCTGAGATATCACTTGCCATGTTCTGCTTGGGCCACTCCTACTCCATCAGGTAGGCCCTTATGGCCATGCACTCACAGTAACCCATGGCAACTTCTTCCTTTTTCCTCTCTCTCCCTTATGGTCTCTCTTCCGACCCTAAGCCCTGGGAACTTTTGCTCTGCCACCCCCCCCCCCCTGCCCCCGCCGCCCTTCTGCCCAGCGCAGACTGTAGGTATCTTTATTAACAAATCAGGGATAACTTGGGGGGCAAAGTTTAAACAACAAAAGCTGGTATGAATAAGGATCTGCTTGTCTTGGAAAACCAGGTCTTGGGGTACAGAATTTAGCATTTCAATACAAGCAGCACCAGACCCAGCTCCTACAAGTATGTGTGTGCCTTTGAACACATCAGTTCACAGAAGCTGAAGGCACTGGATCCACCTAGAGCTGGAGCAATGGGTAGTTAAGAGTTGCCCACCAAGGGTGCTGGGAACTGAACTCTGATTTTCTGCAAGAGTACTGTGTACTCTAAACCTCTGAGCCATCTCTGTAGCCTCAACAATGAATTTTGCATTCTAGCTTATTGGCCACTAATTGCTGAGTATCTTTTCATATTAACTAAGGATCAAATGTTTCTCCTCTGTTGCTGACTTCAGATCTAGTCATTTTCATGGATGAACAGAAACATATCAATGGATAGAGAGCCATGCCCTGTGTTTAAAAGCTGTCACTTCCCTGGTGTTTATTACTACATGCTGGAGTAATATCCAATCGAGAAGCCAGACAATGGAAAAACAGGATTGGTGAAGCTGAGAAAATGTTAAACACTAGAAGTTCCTCGATACAGACCAGAGTAGTGGTGAGAATCAGATGCACACTTAAAGAATCAAAGTTTAAATCTCTGTATTTATATTCTGAGATTAATTTATAGGTGAGCAGTCTAATATCAGGGCTGATTAATGAAGATCAAAGTTAAATAGTTCAGAGATTCTCTCATTAGTATCCCAAACTAATTTTTTTTTTCCTTTTAAAATACCAGCCAATACTCTTGTCTTAGCAGGCTGCTCCTCCTGGCCTCTGATCCAGGTTCATTTAACAGTTATTTGTGGGGTCAGCCACCTGGGGTGACATATACATAAGGAGCGATTTCAGCTACTACGGAGCTAGCATATGCTACTTCATTCATTGAAAGACAGGCCAGACTGAGGAAAGATGGAAAGCCCTTTGTTAACATTTGTCTAAATACTGAGGTTTAGAACCACTAGTAATACACTCATATGATATAGATCCTACAAATAAAAGGGTATTCTTATTAATTTTGTGGGCTTGGGGATGTCTGGCATATAGCCTGACTCTAATGTGATGTGCCTGAGGTGACCAGTACATAGGGGCAGCTGTGTGAGTGTGCAGGTGATTTGTCTGTTTCCAGATTTTTCCACTGTTATTCTCCTTTACTCTTACTTCCTTTTGGCTGGAGGATATGCTGGCAATCTGGCACTGCCGTTTCCCACGTGTCTTCTTCCTGCCAGTTTACAGGGGAGTGTTTTGGAGAAAATCTGCCAAAAGCTTTCTTTTTCCCTCCCAGATTAAATACATTACATCTGCTTAACATATGCAGTCACTGTTGGGCCAGGGACTCAAACAAAAGCTCTCAGGATGATTACCTCACTGTTATTTTGACTTCTAAAAATGTATTCATCTGGGGAACAGCAGTAAGTCCTTGCTCTTCTGGGCTACATCCTTGGATTAAAATGCTGGCTAGATCCATTATTTACAGCCAAGCTATCTGGAGAAAGTCACTTAATTTTCCGTTTTCTTCTCTGAAAATTGAAGGCAATACTTAACCTTGCATGGTTTTCATAGATATTAAATGATCTGTAATGCTGGCAAGAAGGAGCAATAAAGGGAACTGGGGAC